AAAATGTTAATGTGAGACTAATGTTCATGTTTTGTTAAGTATGTGCATTGCCAGAGAGAATTTTAATCATAACAACCCCGACGCAGAGAGAATAAATTAAACATGTATCCTTGCTGACCTACGAATTTCATTTCTGGGAGTATGACATCAGGAAATTTTTTATATAATTTTGCAAGTGTATATGTTCAATATTGTCCTTACTAACATTATATAAAACACATCTGTGAAAATTTAACAACAAGGTATGTTAGAAAAGTATCATGAGCATTTCCATATTGAAAAAATTATTAGAGTGAAAGACATTGCAATTAATCTCTCAGGTTACTCCCCCTCACTCCAAATGTACTGAAGCTATTGCCATTTTCTGAAGCAGCTCTGGAAATCCTGTTCTGTGAATGCCTTTGGTTGGAGTTTTGTATGGATGCCTGGTTGTCTTGGGTCAGTTGGAAATGTTCACCTTTCATGATCATTTTTCCTTTCTGGGAAAGAGCCAGAAGTCACACGGTGCCAGATCTGGTAAGTGTAGTGGAAGAGGACACTGCAATGTTTTTATGAGTCTCCATTCCTGTCTTTTGCAGAAGCATTCACTGGATTTTTGATCATACCTGTAAAGACTCTCACAAAAGAGGACTTCCAGAATTGCTTCAGAAAGTTTGCAAAGAACAACTGGAATACATGTGTTTGAAGTGAGAAGAAATATTTTGAGGGAGAATAATGAAAACACCTCTGTTAGGTCCCTCACATTGTATCCCGCCCAACTTGAAGAGAAAAATTTGGACAGACAACTGGTCTATTCAAACAGAAAGGCCCTCACTCAGCTCAAGAGACAAGAGTAAACCTGTTCATCGGGATAGTTCTCAGGCTAGTTCTCAGGCTGACAGGAAACTGTAGTTCTACAGAAAGCCAGGCTGTTAACAATCAACACGCTTTTGTGCTCCTGCTTGTCCCTCCCGCAGATGCACCAGATCCACCAATCACTCCTGAGAAACTTAAAATTTCCACCTTCCTCAGTGGAATTTCCCCCTCCCGTATTTAAAATGGTCTACAAAGTAGGCCCCCTTCCTTTGTTTTGGGGCTAATAGCTTTTTTGCCTTTGGCCAGGCTGCACCTAACCTGAAAAAAAGATATCACTCTTTGCGTTAATCCTGCCTGTCCTGGTGGTCTTAACTGCTAATTGGGTCTAGCCCAACAGTGTCTTTTACTGTAATCAATTTCTTAAAATGTAACCTTTGTTTTTTGTTTTGTTGGATTGTTTGTGAGACAAAATCTCATTGTGTATCAACTCATTATTGTAGCCAAGGGTGGCCTTGAACTAGCAGCAAACTACTACCTCTGCATCCTGAGAGCTGAGATTATAAACATGCATCACAGCCTTCATGATCACTCCTTAAATTTGTCATTATTAGTATGAACAAACTGTTTTATTTTATACAATATGTAAACCATTCAACTACAAATAATGAACTAGATGAACCTTATAAATATCTCACTAACAAACAAGGCAATATACAAAGAAATGCATATACCATCTTTCCATTTATATAGAAAGCAGGCCAAACTAAATTTTATAATTTAGGAGCCCACATGCACATGGTAAAACCCTACAAAGAACTGTGAAAGTTTTGAAGTGGTTGGCTCTAGCAGGTTTGCTAGAAGTTATAATATGTGCATTTAGGGTTTCAGCAATGCTTAATTTATGTTATGAAGGAGCTGTTAATGTGTGTATCCACTTTTTAATTTGTGTGAATTATTGTACACTTCATGTTTTCTACATTCTTCTAAATCTGTCATGTTTAGAAGAACAAAGCATAATAGTAATGTATATTAATACTTGTTCAAAAATAAATGCAACAAAAATATACTAAGTACTCCTAGGAATTTGGAGAGTAAAGGATAAGTTGTTATAGTAACCACTACTGGCACACAGTCCTGAATCCAGAGCTGGCATTAATAATTACTTACAGTGTTAACTAATAAAGAAGCTATGCTTCCTGTTGCAGCTGTAAAACAAACTACCACAAACTTGGAGTCTCAAACAACAGAAGCTTACTACTGGACCATTCTGGAAACAGGAGTCCCTGAGACTAAAATCAAAGTATAGGGAGAGCCAAGTTCCATGAGAGGCTCTAGAGAAGACTCTACTTTCTCACTTCTCGATACATTTAAAATTTAACCAGTGAATTTCACAATAATTGGGCCAAATAGGTCCAAATGCACAGTCTAGGTTTAGTGGCTTCAAGAAACTGGCAGTATTCACCTTGAGTGCATTTTCCTGTCATTCTGCATCCAGTGACACAGCTCTGTTCTACAAGACAGACTTTGGGGATGAGCTGGTAGAGAAGAACATTTGTTGTTCACTAGTAAAAACAACATGCTCCCAGGAAGGTTTGTAAAGAAGAAAAAAGCCCTTGTTTTTGGAGGGGAATACGCAAGACAAAAAGCTTGAGGAAGATACAGATCAGATTTTTGTACTATAGTGCAGGCTAATGGCACCTAGTCACGGAGCACTGAATAACTGAATTAGCTATGTTGAGTCCGAGGGATTTAAATCTTATTACAGTTGGCTGTCACTGACATAGAGCACTTGTTCTTTTCTACTATGACATTTTTTCAGATCTTAAAATAATTTACAGAAATCTTTATCATTTATATAACTTACAGAAATAATTATAGAATGTTGTTACACAAATGTTTTAATAATGCGCCAGTACTTTCTGAAGCTAATGTCAAATCAAAATATATAACTAAGCCGGGTGTGGTGGTGCACTCCTATAATCCCAAGCACTCAGGAAACTGAGGCAGGAGGATCATTGCAAGTTTGAGACCAGTCTGAGCTACAAAGTGAGCTCAAGACCAGCTTGAACTGCATAGCAAGACCCTGTATCAAAAAGACAAATATATATCTATATATAACTGAGTCATATCCAACCATAAATTATATGAACAGTTCATCTTTCTATTGTTTTAGGAATGAAAAAGGAGCATAGACATTAACATCAATCTACTTTTCTTTTCTTTTTCTTGTTTTGCTCTTTGAACACAAAATGGACTTTTACTTCATTATTTTCATAAATTTCATTTCCAATTATACATATGCTGAAAGGTGGAACACCAAAGGCAATTTTTAGTCACAGCAACTCCATCAAATACACATGATCTGAGGTTTTACTGCTTGAGTGAATTACAGTCCTTTCATGATTTCTTGGTTGAACAAGAGATAATTAAGATAATAGAGAGGAAAAGTGAATATTGTTCTGTAGGAAATTTGTTGAACTCAAGAAAAATTTATTCATGGGTGTGGTATCCATCTTTAAAGAGAAACCCTTCAAGTTCCTAAAAACACAAGACAATATCAGTATTTTACATGAGCATATATTCATGTATGTTTGTGAAAATTTCTGCCATTAGACAACATGGAAAATGTTATTTGCTACCACAGCCAATGACAATGTATTGTCATTTCCATGTAATTTAAACATTTCCATTTTCCACTTCATGTTCTGCAAAAAGTCATGTGTGTGTTTTATGAAACAAACTATGTTATAGGCAGTAGTAAATGAAAAAGAGCTTAATAGTCTTAACTGTGCACCCCTGGAATGAATAATATACTTTGCATAATCATGTGCAATGTTGGAAAATGATTCTTGAACTCTTATTACTACAAGGGTTTGCAAGCCTCTATTTGTTACAATATGCCTCAAGTCAGTCAATTTAACCAAAATTTAACTAAATTATTCAAGCAATAATTTAGGTGAGTTTTGTCATTTTACAAAATGACAAATAATCCATTTGACTAAATTGATGATGTTTACCCTGAGGGTCATCCTGGGAGTGTTTATTGTGTGCTGGCTGCCCTTCTTCACCATCTCCCTGGTGTTGTCCATCTGCAAGGATGCCTGTTGGTTCCACATGGCCATCTTTGACGTCTTCACGTGGCTGTGCTACCTAAATTCCCTCATCAACCTTATCACCTACACCATGCCCAACAAGGACTTCATACAGGCACTCCATAAACTGATACACTTTAACTGCACAACCTGGCCTGCCCATGGAGGTGGGGTCTCCCGAGTGACCTTTGGGGACCAAGTTGGGTCTTTCCACAGGTTGGTGGAATCTTCTTTGCTGTTACTAGGTCAGAGCAATGGGTTCTCTGCTGGGCAAGGGCAGTGGGTCCTGAGAAGCCAGAACAGCCCTTCGAGGGAGTTCTGGAAGCAGAACAGTTCAAACTAAATGTAGAGCTCTCCTGCTGAGGAGCAGGTTCACCTCCTCCCCTCCAGCCCGGCTCAGCACAGATCCCACCACTGCCAGTCACAAATGGCATTGCGACATTCTAAAACTGATGATAGATAGGGTGTTCCCACACTGCCTTGGTGTTCTGGATAGTGATGGCCTCCAGAGACAGTGGCTTTCGGTAGTTGTAGTGCGAAGCCTGTCTGAGACAGATCTACACCCAGCCTGGCACTACTTGATGCTCATTACCCTGTGTGTTGGGGAGAACTTTGTGTTACGATCTACTTTTCTGTTTTTCTTTCTTTCTTTTTTTTTTTCTGGTACCGGGAATCAAACTCAGGACCTTGTGATTGCAGGCAGGGGCTTGTGCCACTGAGCTATCTCCCCGGGGCCTCAGTCTACTTCAGAAGCAACAGAAAAAATTTCAACTTCCTATCATATAGCTCAACTGGGAAATTCCTTAAGTACATAATGAATTTAAGGGAGGCAAAACAGAGCATTGTCTAACGTTCCTATAATTTTTAAAACGTATTTTACTCTGGTTAGATAAAACAAACAGAAAACAATCAAAAAGTATAATGAAGGATGTTTTCATTCTCATCTTAAAGTTGTTAACTTACTTAGGGAAATTTAGTCTTCCCTATAGGCTTTTAACTACTGAGGAGAATAAATGCAAATTGATAGTTATGGTTTAAAAGCATTTTAGTAATTAAAATATGTACTAACAGATATATTTATGAAATCCACCATTTAAAAAAAGCAGCATGTTGTCACACATGACCAGAAAAAATTGAGATGATTTAATTTTAGCACTAACGTAAACATGTAATTAAATGAGTTACATCAGGTTTTCAGCACATTTCTTATGTGACCTATTTACAAAGTTTATGAAATTACAAATGTTTAGTAAATGATTACTATACATCTAATATAATTTATTTCCTATTATAGAATATACTATTGAAATTACATTTTTAGTAAGGTTAAACATAAGGAAAACACTATTTTTTTTAGCCCTTCAAACTGGGATATAATTTCCCTGCTAATATTTTATCTTCCAAAATAGGAGATTTTATAGTATTACTTGCTTTCAGCTTGGAATTTCTCTGTGCAGATGGTCTACTGACACTGCTGCCCAGTTATGACACAGCTTGTACAGTAGTGCCTCTATCAAGGGGAGAGCTGTACATTATTTCCACTGTACCACAGCTGCCTCCTCTGACAGCACTCAGCACATGCCAACCAGCAGGAGTGATGACCAGCTGAGCCCAAACCTTAGTCTCAGTCCATCTGACTCAGCCTGTGTGGTTAACTCCCACCCTGTTATTTTTTAATACCCTGAGCCAAATACAGAAAGTTAGACAGGAGGCATTGGAATTACTTAAATACTGATTGCCTGAAGTTCTATGTTTCTTGTCCCATTGTGTCTGCAGTAAAAAGGAGAAAGAAAAAAATGGAAGCTCTGATGTTCAGCACTTTAGAGCAAGATACAGTCATCATTACGTGGTGGTCTATAGGATTTCAAACGGTTTATCTCGTCTTGCAGTCTTCTCTGTTCAGCTTCAGCCGCTGCTCTTTGCCTTTCAGCTTCCTCCTAAGAAGTGGTGAATAGAAACTGTAAAGCCCAGCTAAAAGCAAGATAAAGCTTCTTTCTAATTGCCTGAGTCACTGACTTGTCCTTGTTTTCATCTACAGTGTCTGAAACATTGGTGCACTCAGAGTTCTGTTTAACTGCTCTTTTACCTTTGCACACAATATCCCTGAAAGGGGCTGAGGATATAGCTCAGTGGCACAAGAGCCTGCCTGGCAAACACAAGGTCCCAAGTTTAATTCCTGGTACCAAAAAAACCCAACCAAACAAACAAAAAAAAACCCACAATGTCTCTGAATAATGAGTCATAGCTTGACTTCAATTCTATCACCCCCAGGAGCATGTTAGATATGGTTCTAAGAGAAGAGGCTGATACAAAAGTAGAGTGTCTGGGTGACATCCAGAGTCAGATGAGGCATCTGAGCCTTATATGAGGGTATGTTCCAGGCCAACACACTTTTAGAGACACAAATGGAGATCAGAAACCACAGACTGCCCATACTAGCCTTCAGGAAAGAGCTGCAGTCTCAAGGATGTCTTGGAGTAGCTGCACAGCAACCAGTGCCTGCAAATGGGCTGGGAAGCAGCGGCGAGGGTTAGGAGCATGACTGTCTCAGGAGGCTGTTCACAGAGCAGTTTCATACCAGGCGGCAGTGCTCTGAACCCCGCTCACTGGGAAGGCAGTTCTGACAACTTAAGGGCTGTGTGATACCAGGATTTAGTTCTCACTTGGGGCCTCACTTGCCTCATCTGAAACCTGGGTGCACACTGGTTCTGCTCCCAGTGCATAGATCAGATGAGGGAGAGTGCGCATAGGACTTTCTGTGGTACTTAACAAATAAGAGCTACTGCTGCACAAGCTAAGTCCTTGCTGCCCAGGGACTGGATAGAACAAATTGCAGGTTAAAGTTCACCAGAGCCAGATGATCAAGTGAAGGGCAGGAGTAAAGAGAGGCCAACAGAAAACTGGTGGAACAAAATATCTACAACCAAGACAAAGCATTTCACAGAGTAATTACCAAGTTTAAGGACTACTGTGGGACTGAAACGCCTTAGTGTTTATTGAACAATTCCTAGTACTATTCTGTACCAAGTACCATTCTGAACACACTTACAAATGCATCTAATTATCCCAATAACTTTATAAAATGCATGCCACCACTACGTCTATTTTACAGGAGAGGCAAACAGGGGGCAGAGGGAAGTGAGCACTTCCCTAACCCTGTATTTGGTAAGAAGTGGTGCCTGGATTCGCCCAGCAGTCAGACTCCACAGTACCTGTCCTGAGCCGCCAACTGCACTGCACAGCCCCTTTGCCAGGGGCTCAAGCTCCTGCTCACAGAGAGGGGAGAGATGAGGAAAACCTGAGATGAAACCTCTGATAAATACCTGGAGCCGCCGCTCCTGCTCCCTCCGCTGCTGTGCCAGGAAGTTTGCTCTTTGGATCTCCATCTGTCTCACTTGCTCCTGGTGGAGCCTCTGCCTCTCCTCCAGGCGTCTCTGGTTCTCCCGGGCAATGGCCGCCAATCTTTCTTCCTCTGCCCTTTGAGCCGCTGCCTTCCACTGAGCCTCTGCAGAGAAGGAGGAAAATAAACCTCTCTCAGACGACTGTGCCCCTTCCTTCTGCTTCCCACTCTTGTCTACTATCGTTACAACTCCATCATGAAGTTGACTTGAGTCATTTCCCCATCCACAGAACCAAACTGTAGCTGATTGTGGTGCTCTGGGGCCGTCCTGGCCATGTTTATTTTCAAACTTCGAAACTTCCTGTCTGCTTGCATTGCCTCCAGGTTCATCTCACCTTCCCTCTCCTTTTCCTTGGCAGTGAGAGCCTGGTCTGTCTGTAGAACAACATCATTCACAGACTGCTTGGACTTTAGGTAATTCTGCAGAACTTCCTCAGCCTATGAAAGCGAAAACCCAAAGTCGGTACCAGGCAAGGGTAATGGGGAGTGCTGTCCACCTCTTTATTTCTGTTTGTTCCTCACATCTTTCCCTCCTGGTAGACGCTCAGCCAGCAGCCAGCAGAACTGTCCACAGGTCTCCCCTGCTGCAGATGTGGGCCCAGCTTTTACCTTGACATCTGAGTACCCACGGCAACTATTGAAACTAAATTAAAACCTTTTGATTTTTTAAATAACTTTTGATTTTGCATTTCAATCTTGTGTATCCAAAAAACCCCATTCCTTTGTGGTAATGAGCACTGGAGGTTGACATAGAAGACTGATGACAATGGTGATGTTTCAATACCTCAGCTACGCCGCAGTGCTGCTACACATGATTTCCCTTGAACACTGATTCAAATAAAAACCAAAATAAAAAGTAGATAATAGGAAGTAGGGAGGTAGATCCTTCTCAAAGAGGAAAGGCATCAAGAGATGGAGGAAGGAGGAAGGGACAGGAGGAAAAGGGGAAGAAAAAAGAAGTTAACATGTGTTATGTACTTGTACCATCTCCATACGAGGAATGTAAACATAATATACTGCAAACATGTATGAGCAAGAAAAGAAGAGTGTTCAAGGACAGATAGAGTGGGTGGAATAAAGCACAAGGAAATGAAAGAAGGAAATAAGATGTATTATGTACATATAGTAACTCCTCTCAAGGAATGTACTGTAAACTTGTACTAACAAAAAATGACCTAGATATAAACTCATCGGTGTGCTGGTATATTCATACTTTACCTTTTGTCTTCAGTGTTTTTTCAGAACGTTCCCTGAATTTTCCATAGCTAATAGATAAATCTGGGGTACCTGTATTCCTTTCCTTGGCTGTTGATAGTAATTCGCCTTCAATGCTTCCATTTTTTGAAGGAAGAGGTTATGGCCTCCTGCCTTAAAATAAATCCCCTGCCTCACTTCTTCTTCCAGAGGACCAAAAATATCCTGAAGTAAAGCTGAGCAACGTTCTGAAGAGGCTTCCTTGTTCCGCTCACAAATGTCATTCTGCTTTGCACCTAGGAGGGTCTTCAAGGGACAAAATCCCAGAGATGTTAGCAAAAATTCAGTATTTCCAGGTGTTGTTCTCAAAAAGAATATATACTATTCAGTGGAAATTTAGTGGAATATAACCTGGTTTATATCCTTTCCACCAAACCTTGAAAAGTTCTGAGAAGGTTACTCTATGAAAAATAACACTTAGTTTTGGGTTAGAAATGTACTAAAACCACTTTTCCTTGTTATCTGTGCTTTAGATGTAATCTTATGAGCCCCTATCCCTGAGCCCCATGGCTGGCTTTTAAATGCAAGATGCTACTTACCACATTTTTGATTTTTATATTTTTCTACCTTTAGTGAGAGGGAGAATTGGATAATTAACTGGAATGATATCAGTCAATTTTATTCATCCTGGATACACCATATTTTAGTAGACACAAGTATAAATTTTGTTTCACTAATAAAACAGTAAATATAACTTTGAGAGGAATAAAGTCATCCATGAATATAATATTTAGAAGGTGAGGTATGTGCTTCCATGAAAAGTTACAAGTGTAAACTGCTTAGAGTATTTATATGCTTTTTTGGTTTTAGTATAAAAGTAATATGGAGTGCATCACATGAGTGATCATCATTATTTTCAAGCCTGGTACTTGCTTTTCTTAATTAAGTCTTGTTTTACCATTTGGAAAAAGTCTTTGCCTTCTATTTACCCTAAGCCCATGTACTAGAACAAACAACAATAATATTAATCACCTGTAATTCCTTCTGGAAAGTTTGGTCCTCATCCTTGAAAGAGTTCTTTATGAATATCTCCATGGCCTCCCTCTCACAGGCCCTGTGCAGGTCCAGCAGCTCCTGGAGGGTGTCTGTGGGCAGCTGCACCTTCTGGCCCATCTGCTGGTCATAGTGGGCCAGTGCCTTCTGCACTGCAGCTGAGTTCTCTGTCTGGACCAAGGCTAGGACTGAGTTCCCCACGCAGGGCAGATCCCCTCTGTTGATGGCATCAACATAGGTCTGTGTCAGGCTCTCAAGACCTTCACAGAGGGAAAAGACAGTTATATTACTTGTGGAGCAAGAGTTGCTCTTCCATTGAGTAATTCTGAGCATGTGGACTTATTGATTCACTGCCTGAAAATTTTCACCATTCTGTGCAGTATCCATGGACTCCACATAAATTCTTTTGGGAAATTATATAATTCAGAACCAAGGTCTTTCTTTTTTAGGGAAAAGAAACTGTGTTCAAAGCAGAAATTATGGTAAATCTCAAGGTGTGCATGATTGTACACGACCCATAATTATCTACAAACAAATGCAATGATTATATACAAGCCACGCATACTTGATCAGAATGCTATAGGCCTCGCCTCTTTAGTCTTCCCTTTTCTCTCTCTCAGTTTCCATTTTCTTTGAAATTTCATTTTCTCTTTTTACTTTGTTATGATAAAACTGGTATGAGAGATATCCTCTTCTTTTTAAAAAAAAAAAAAAAAGGAAAATTAAGCAATTTTAGACCACATCACTTTTCTTATTCTTGCTGGGAATTTCCCTGTTTCACTTCTCTGTCAACTTGTGCTCAATTTCCCTCTATAGTGTAGCAATTATTTATGGAATTTGGAGACAGAGATTTCTTAGACTAATTAAGACCATGAAGTCAACAAATTTTTTAGAAATGTAGACTATTTGCACTTGATTCAACATTTGTATTAATGGAGTTCTCTTTCTACCAGGAACATGTACATCTTGCTTATCTTGAGCCTATCAAAGGCTTTCACACATAATAAGGCTGCAATATACTTCTTAAACAAATGATGCCCATCAGTGTGGATTAGTGCAGTTCACCGGTGGAAAGTAGATGGGTACAACTCTTTTAACTCTCTTTACTTTCATTTCTCCCCCATTTTATGTAATTTTGGAGGTATTACTAAAAACACTAGAAATACATTTCACATCCGCTATATTTTTGTGAATGTGTCCCATATGATTTTCATGGTGGTAGTTACTTATGCACTTGTTAACATTGGTACTGCAAGGAGATTAATGTGTTTCTTATACTGTCTGCTGTGTAGAAGTTACCTAAGTAGATACTCACAGGGTCCATTGACCTTGAAGCCTCCTGGAAGAGTCTTGGCTGCGGAGTGGCTGAAGATGTAGGAACAGAATTCTGACACTTGTTTCACAAAGTCAGGATCCAGCTCATCATCTCGAAGGTCCTCGAGGTGGGGAAGCTGCTTCTTCTCAGCAGGTGACTCAAAGATAAAGCATTTCTTTCTTGGAAAGAATTTCTTTATGCACAAACGGGGCAAATTGAAATGTTGAATTCTCTCATTGCTACCTGAAGAAGGAAAATTAGGGTTTATTTAGCATAGCACATCTGCTTATCATTTACCTCAAAGAAATATTCTTTTTGCTAGTGTTCTTTACTTTAACATGTCTTTATAAACCCTATGCAAAAGGATAAAGGTATAATCAGGGAATGAAAACTGGAAAGAAATTTGTTCCAAGAACAGAATACATTTTAATATTGAATCTCTTAATTTACTCAAATTAGTAATATTCATTATTTATTTCATGTGAAAGTTGGGTGAGTAAATATGAAAAAAATATACATTTAGTGACCTACACAAAAAATGATTTCATTGAGATGCTTTTTTCTTAATGGTCAAAACCAAGCCCCCTTACCTTCTTTGAGTTTCAGTGAGTTCTCCAGGTATTGATCTGGTGTGATGCTCTGTCCATCTGTTTCCAGGCTTAGGTAGAAATCTCTCAGAGTCCACACTAAATCCGGCAAGAAGCTCCCCAAGTCAGCAGCATCTTCAGCTCCGTTAAAATCAGGTGAATTTCTTGTTCTGAGCAGATCTGTCAGTTCTGTCACATTGCTGAGATGCAATTAAGGAAAGTTCACAAGAACAGGACAACATCTAAGCCCATATTTTATTCCTTGCCTCCCCAAAAATGGATTTTCTCTCTACCACTCAACCAAACTGACATTTCATCATCAGTTAATATGAGTTAGTTATGTTGGCCTTGAAAGCTTATCAAATTTTGTTTTTTTTTTTTTTT